GTGGCGACGATGTACAGGGCAGGCCCCTGCAGACCACCGCAAATCACCTTCCACCTCACATTGCCCAATTCCATATCTTTTCAAATGGACTTGAGCATTGCCCCTTGCTCAAAACAGTACGCAGCAATGCTTTATGACAGCGCGTCTTGCGCTCTCCGCATTGCTTCAAAACGCATGCCTAAGAATGACAAGTACCTCTGGAAGCACCTGATCATCACATTTGCAACGTGCACGCGCCCGCACAACCTGGCGACCCGTCCATTAAATTCCTCATCCTGGAAATTGTGAAGCCATCTCGGATTGATGGCAGAAATAAGGTGGCAATCTACAACATGACAAAAAATGCTGCAATGTGGGTGTGATCTTGTACAGGCATTTCGACAATCGCAGATTCTGACCAGCAGCGTATTGGTAGCGCGTCAAGAACAAACACCCATGTTCATATGCCTCTTGCCGAGCGTTCTTACTCATCACAAGTCCCTCTTGGTGGAGCACATCAAAGTAACTGCATATAGCCCACAGACACGTTGAAAGTGTTCGCATGTAACTGGGGGTTGCTCATCTTGTCATTTCTCCTCAGCCTCCTCCTTCTCTCCCCGATCCTCTCTCCCTTCTCATCCTCCTCTCATCGTCCTCTCATCCTCCTTTTCCTCATCACCTTGTCCCTCCTGATCCTCCTCTCCTCCTCCTCGTCCTGCGGGCCCTTCCCCTCCTCGTCTTTGTCGTCCTCATCTTACCCCTCCCCCCCTTATTCCTCCTCCCATCCGCATCTCATGTGGACAACTGCACCTGTATAGCCTGGGCGTCAGCCGATGGAGCTCGACGAAAGCACCGGGGCCACGGCACTGACACCCCGAGGAGAAAAACTTATCTGTTTCACCAGGGGCTGGAAAAAAGCAAGGGCTGCCACCCGACAGAAACTCATTGCTAACCCCGTGCGCCGGCTGTCGTCGCAGATCAGTGCCAGCCTGGCCGATGCAAACGATGTGAGTATAACCATGTTCGCCGCCTTCGCCGAAGAACTGAGTTCTGGTTTTTATGTCTGGAAGACGTGCCCCTGCCAATTAAATTCATCAAAAACACAGCGGGGGCGTGCGAGATCTTTCTGTCTTTGCACCAGTTCTTGTAATCAATGTACAGTTGTTTTAATGCAATGTCTGGGCCATGATCGACATGCGGTATCCAACGTTTGTCCACCATTTCAGCCATCACTGAGCCTACCAAAGTCAGGAGCACGCCAAGATGCAATATATGCATCAAGTCGTGGCGCACGGTCTCCAGCCGCCAGCCGTAGATATCTGGCCAGGGGCTCACTGTCTCTGAAACTTCCGCATCCACATACATTTCGTGTGTTATTATACATTTCCTCGATTTGGCCGATCGGCAACAATCCCCAAAATGCAAAGCTTGCGGCGCCTTCTTGAATGGCGCTGTGGCTGCACATAGGTCACACGTGTAGGTTCGTCCGTATTTACGTTTGAAACCATTGGTTTCGCATCGACATTTCAGGTCAGCTTTGAAGCCAGCATAGACGAACGCATGCCCACCAGCAACATCTGTTCCAGCAGCTTTCGCCCTCCAAGAACAAGATGGCAACTCTTCTCCGTAATCCTCTAGTTGGATACTTCCCTTTGCGAAGTTGCCCCCCGCACCATGCGCGAAACCTAGCGATCAGAGCGCGCATCCTAGAGCGAAGCTTGGCTGACGGGCAAAGTGCCGCTAATAATTTCGCATCATATGAGTCTCCTTTTGTCGCCAGGGACGCGAGCGACCATATTTGCATCTCTGTGAGCTTTGAGGAAGCAGCACCATCAGAGTATAACACATAAGGCACAACTGTAGAAGCTGCATGCGTTTCCAAATGCTTGCGGCGTTCCACAGCCCAGGGCTCATTTTGCACGCCCGCCCAAAATTCTGCAAGATTAGATGGCCATCGTTCCCCAAGAACGCTCCTTTTCAAAGCGCTCTTTCCCAGCGCCGTGGAGCTGCCCATGCACTTCGTGCAAAGGGAGGACTGGGATGTTGACCTTTTTGAGCTTCAACTTTTTTTGGCTGCCAGTGCAATCTGCAAGAAGCATGGTTTCAGGTTCATTCCATATGCCGATTGAAGCCACCTGTTGAAATCACGCTCTTCATTTTGTGGGCAGCGTCCATGGCAGCCTAAAGATGCTATTGCCTGTACTGCAGGAGTTGCATTCCCTTCATCAACCATGGCCCTTGCGAGCCTGCGTTGTGGTGCAACATGAGACGCTCCTGAAGTCAGTGCGCGCAGTAATTCTTCAGCAACCGGCGATCGTGGTAGATCTTCCCATGGTCGCCGAGTTCTTCTCAGTGTCCTCGGGCTGACAAGGTTGCCATCCTCTTCTTTCCCCGCCCCCTTCTCCCGAATCCACCCTCCCCCACATCTCTCTTGCTCCTTTCAGGGCAGCAGAGAGAGAGGGAGAGAGAGATATGGAGAGGGGGAGGGAGAGGGGGGAAAATGGAGAAGGGAGGAGGGAAGAGCAGGAAGGAACAGGAGCAGGAGGAGGAGGAGGAGGAGGAAGAGGAGGATGGCAAGGGGGGGGGCCGCCTGACGACTGCGCCGCCAGGCCAGGGCAGGTCCAGCAGTTTTTCTGCCAAAACCAATCTCGACCTGAAGCATCCTCCGGAGCCTCGACGTTGGCCCAAGGAAAGGCCCAGAGAGAGAGAGAGAGAGAGAGAGAGAGAGAGAGAGAGAGAGAGAGAGAGGGCGCGGCAGCGTCCTGTTTCGAGCATTCCGGCAGGTGCTGGATCCGTCTCCTGCGGGCCGGGCAGTGGCGTGGACAGGGCGCGAGGGGGCGCGGAGGGGGAGGTAGGCCAGGGAAGGAGGAGGGGGGGGGGGAGTTAGGCCGGGGCGGGAGCGGAGGGGGGAGAGGAGGCGACAGAGTGGGAGGGGATGGGGCGAGGAAGGATGAGCTTTGCATCGAGAGCAGCTGCCTTGCATTCGGGCCTCGTGGGTAGTCGGCCGCTCGAGCGCTGGTACCTTGGAGTTGTGCCCTATAGGTGGTGTCTTGTTCATCCAGATGGTGCCCTGTTGCTAGGAAGCGCATGATGCCCCTAGGTGTCTTGTGCTAGCTGGTGCCATGCCCTGTGGTGTCCTATGGCACTGCTACTGCTACCTCGAGCTACTGCTACCTCATAGTCTGCGACTGCTACCTCAAGCTACCGCATGTCCACTGCTCAGAATACAACTATTCAGTCTACTGCATGCCGGCATAGCCTGCCACTGCTACCTCAAGCTACCCCAAGACCCATGGGAGCTCTATCCGCGGTCGGCGCTCACAGCGCGGGCTAGGAGGTAGCAGTCGCAGGCTATGAGGTTGCTTGAGGTAGCAGTGGCTTGAGTAGTTGCATTTTGAGCTTGAGGCCCCTTCGCAGCTTGAATGTCACGGGCCTTCTTGGGGCAGGAAATAGGATTGAAGTTCGCGAGGATGCGCGCCCATAGGGGAAGGAGTGTAGAAGGTGATCGGATGGATTCTCGAGGAGACGCATGGAATACGATGAGGAATGTTACTCCAGATTTCGCAATACAAGGGAGGGGGTCTCATTTCGGGGGGGGGTCTCTTCCAGGCTATCTTGGAGGGTCTGGGGCGGTTCTGGGGGCGATGTTTTGGGGGGTTCTCCCACGGGGGATGTCTGAAATGGCTTGTCTTGGAGGGTCCAGACCCCCTCCCTTTTGTTGCGAGATCTGGAGTGCGAGAAATGCAAACAGGAGTTGTTTTCTCGCAAACTGCTACCCCCCATTGCAGGGTCGCGCAGCACATGTTACTCATCGCTGTGATGACCACCCTGCTGGCATCAGCCAGCTCAAACCGTGAGCGCGGCCCTAGGCACCGCCGGCAGCTGTCTCAATGTACCCATCCTCGAGCTCGTCCCCCTCGTCCTCATCCTCTTCATGGTCCTTGTTGGGCGCCTTCGCCTCGTTCTGGGCCCGGATGAGCGCGTCGCAGGACCCCTTGGCCATGTCGTACATCAATTGGTGGTCCGCCTTGATCTTCTCAGCAGCGTTCATATTCGCGGCGTAGGCATCCGGGTCGTCACAGTCATTGGCGATGAGTTCTTGGATCTCCAGCGAGCTTGTTGTCAGGTCATCTACCATCTTGGTTAAGTTGGTCAAGGTCTCCTCTGGGAACTTGCGGCCGTGCATCTTCATCTTGAGATTTCCTGCTGCGTCTTTAGATTTGGTTAAGCTTGTTAGGAACTTCTTCGCGATGTCGGTCGGACTCAGTGGCCTCTCTTGCGCTGGGTCCTTACCTTTCTTGCCCTTGCCTTTCTTGCCTTTCTTGCCCTTGCCTTTGCCCTTGTTGCCGTTGCTGCCCTTGCCGCCCGCGTCGTCGGCGCCGCTGCCACTTCCGTCGGCGCCGGCAGGATGGGGCGCAGCCGGCTGGTCGAACGGGCCACTTGGGATTTCCGAGTCCTTGATAGCCGCTCCAACTGCACCTTCCGAGAGGCCTTTGACTTTAACCTGCTCAACGTTGAACACCGGAAACAAGGCTGCAGCGCTCTTAGGGTCGAAGTCCGCATTCAATGCCATGGCCAGCTCGCGACGGTCGATGCCACTAACTTCCAAGTCCGGCTCCAGCCACGCCCGCGCGAGGCGCGTGCCCTCGTCACCTGCAGAGGAGGGAAGGAGGAGGAGGAGGAGGAGGAGGAGGAGGATAAAGAATAGGTCGGAGGAAGGAAAGGAAGGAGGGCGAGGAGGAGGAGAAGAAGGAGGGTCGAAGAGGAACAGGATGGATAGGACTTGGAGGCAGGATCAAGAGGATCAAACGAATCAGGAGGATCAGGGTGATGAGGAGGGTCACGGAAGATCTGGGGGATCAGGAGCAAGGAGAAGATCAGGAGGATCAGGGGGATCATGATCAGGGAAGGTCAGGAGGATCAGGAAGAGGAGGAGGAGGAGGTGGAGGAGGAGGAAGATGGATGAGGAGATTTCCAATGCCATCTTTGACGTGGAAACTCTGGGCGCCAATTCCACCAGCCCCTGGCCAACTTGTCTGCGATCACCTTCTCCGACCGCTGAGCGCCCTGCTCCCCGTCGCCGCGCGTCGTCGCGAGCTGGGCGCGATGCCGGAAGCCATATTTCATCTTGCTGCGAATCTCTCGGATCCTGATGCGCTTGTAGTGCACCGAGACGTTGCCCCAGTCCTTGTCGCTGTTGCACCAGGCATGGAACAATTCAGTCTTGTTGTTCTTGAGCTTGTCGATCAAGTGCTCTGGAACTTCGCTTGGCCTTTTCTTCTTCTCGTTGGTTTGCCTGCTGAACACCATATTGTCATTCCTGTGCGTGTTGGAGTTCACCATGACCCATTCCGCTTTCTCCTCATCCTCCAACTTCTTCAACACCTCTGGCGCCAACTGAACGTCACCGTTATTGGCCTTCACCACAGTGTCGGGCAAGTCTCCAGCGGCAGATGGGCGCGGCACGACATGATAGGCGTTGCCATATTTGCCGTCGCCCTTGCCGTTCTGCAATGCCACGTTGACATCCTTGCCTGTGCCGCCGCCCTTGCCGCTCTGCGGTGCCGCGCTGACATCCTTGCCTTTGCCGTCGCCCCTGCCGCTCTGCATTGCCGCGTTGACATCCTTGCCTTTGCCGTCGCCCTTGCTGATCTCCTCGCCTGTGGCCGCGACCGTCGCCTTCGCGAAGATGGGCTGGGCGGTCTGCGCTAAGGCCGACTCAGCGGTCTCGCCCATGGCGCCATCGCCCTCGTTGGGCTCCACCTCATCATCCTCCATGCGCGAGCCGTCGCTGCAGGCACTGGCGCCCATCGTGTCGCGCGGATCCTCCGACTCATCATTTGCAGGTGCGGCCTTGGGGCCAGGGGCACTGGAGGGCGAGGGGCGTCCGCGATTCTGCGCAGGCGCCACGGGCCCGCTCACGCGCGAAGAAAGGGTAGGTGGCGCGCTGGAGGATGCTGATGACGAGCCGTAGCCCAGCGCGCGCATGACCTCGGTCGTGCTCATGCCCTCGCGCGCAGCAGTCGACTCGATGAGGCGCTGCAGGCTGTCCAGGGCGCCTGGGAACAGCTTCGCGGGCGGCTTCGGCTGCGGCGTCACCTTGGAGGAGGGGGGGGAAAGGAAGTGACAAATCGTAGACGCTTCGCATAACCCCACCGGCCCGATGCCCAGAAAATTGCCTCGATCAGGCAAGTGGGCAGCACGCAGAAGAAGGGTCCCTCAGTGGAGGCCTCTTGGAGCGTCTTGGGTGCCTCGGAGCGCGTCTCTTGGGAGCATATTGGAGGCCTCTTGGGCGCCTGTCGGGGCCTCCTGGGCGCCTCTTGGGGCCCTCTTGAAGCGCTCTTGGGAGCGTTAGTGTGGCCATCTTGGTGGACATCGATCAAACAAGAAGCGAGCATTAGTCAGCGTTGCCCCTCGGGGGCCCAACAAAATCGTCTCTTCGGGCGCTCTTGGAGCGCTCTTAGGCGCTCTTGGGGTCGTCTTGGGGCTCTCCAGAGCCTCTCTTGGAGCCCTCTTGGGCCATCTTGGAGCCATCTTGAGGCCCCGGATGGCCATCGGAAGCGAGATGGACAGAAAACCAAACACATAGATGCTCCGAAGGTTTTGGCCTCTTCGGGGCCTCCTGGGGGAGCTCTTTGTCTTGGAACGGTCGTGGGGCATCTTGGAGCTTCGCGGGGGCCATTATGAGACATCTTGGGATATCTTGAGCCATCTTGGAGGTCATCTTGGGCTCTCCCAGGCGCCCTTGGAGCCATCTTAGTCAGTGCCCCCAAAGGGGCCAACCTGTGGCTCAAACCTGAGTAACATCAATGATTTGGCATTCTCGCCGAGGCCTCTTGGCGCATCTTGGATGCCTCCGGGGGGTCTCTTGCCTCTTGGAGGTCTCTTGGGAGCCTATTGGGGGCGTCCAGGGGGCCTCTTGGGGCCCCCTGGCCACCTCTTGGGACCCTCTTGGGGCACCCTCGGTAGCCTCGGGGGCCATCTTTGGGCCATCTTGCGCGAGGTCGATCACACGATGGGGGGGGGGGGCTAATTATAGGCCCCCCCCCCTGAGGAGGCCAAGACGGGGCCAAACACCAATGATGTTGGCTTCCTCGCCGAGGCCGTTCTAAACGCTCCGACGACTCGCCGAACCCCCTGCCCAGGTCCATGGGGAAGGGGTAGGGGGAGGGGTAAACCCCTCCCCGAAGGGGAAGGAGGGGTGGAAGAGGAAACGCTCTAAACCACCGACGCCCAGAGGGCTGGTGGGATTAGGAGGAGGGGGGTTGGGAGGAGAACGATTGACCTCGCACGCCAGCGTTGGTCTGAACATGTCAGCGTCCAAAACATAGTTCTTGGCCCCAGGAACCGTGGGAGGAGGGAGATGGAGGGGGGGCGTGGCTCCAGTAGGAAGCGGCCCCGGAATGAGGCAGGACCGGGAGAAGGAGGAGGAGGAGGTGGAGCAGAGGTTACCCCAATGGGGCCTGTGGTGGCGGCGTGACCCCAGCTGGGGCTGACGGCGAGGGGCTTTTCGCAGCGGTGGGCCTAGCGGCGTCGGACGGCGCGGTGCTCTCCTGGTTGGTTGGCTGCAGCTTCTTAAGTGCATCGAACCTCCCATGGATATATTTCTCATGCCGCTCCTTCTCGAGTGCCTCGTGTTTGATGCTCAGCGTCGTCGCGGGGTCTTGCGTGCTGCCATGCGCCATTGTAGGCGCCGCCCGCTCGCGGTGGTCATGACAGATGAGTGTCCCAGGCATGCGTTGGGGCCCTTCTATGCCTGCCTGCCGCGGCGCGGCTGCGGGCTGATGTGCTGAGACTGTCGGCGCACGGGCGGGCTGCGGTGTTGCCGTGAGCGTTGCTGCAGCCTTGGGCGGTCCTGCTGCCGTGGGCGTCTCGTCGGGCGTTGCTGCGTTTCCTGCGGCGGCGTGCTGCAACTTGGCGAGCTTCTGCATCACCTCCAAAGGGGATGGTACCTTCTCCCGGGCCCTCTTGCCTGCCCTCACATGGCCTGCTGCGGCGTGGCCCCCCGCCGACGCATCGCCAGGGCCGCGCTCAGGAGGAGGCAGCTATAAGATTTGAGCCCAGCTGAGCCACCCAGCAGTGCAAGGATGGAGGGGGCGAAGGTTGCAAGATGTGACATTGGGGGAGCGAAGAGAAGGGAAGGGAAGGAAAGGGAAGGGGGGGAAGATGGGCGGGACAGGGAGGGGGAGGAGGAGGAGCGAGGGCGGTCACCAAATGGGCGAGAGGGAAGGGGCATGGAAGGAGCGACTGAGGGACTCCACTTTATCATGGGAGCCGATTCCGATATCATGCCATCAGGTATCGCGGCATGCATCTCACGGGCCTCTTAGATGCAGCTTCGAAGCCCCTGGGTGGCATATTTGGGGCCTCTTGGGGGGCCACGGGGGCCACGCGGGGGCATCGCGGGCCCATCTTGGGGCCCTTCGGGGGCGCATCAGGGGTTGCCAAGGGGCTCTTGGGGCCTCCGGGGCAACAGGCTCGCAGTATATGTTGATGTTGCCTAGCGCGGGCCCCTCTCGTGGCCTCTTACACCGCATGGCTGGGCCGTCGCGGAGCCATCGGGGACCTCATGGGCTGTCTGACGTGCTAAGTTTGTTCCAAACCGATGGGAAATCCTATGGCGTTGCATCAATGTTCTGCAATGGCGTGAAATCGGGGACCTTATGGGCTGTCTGGCATGCTAAGTTTGTCCCAAATCGATGGAACATCCTATGATGTTGCATCGATGTTCTTCAATGGCGTGAAATGGCGCGAAAGGCGACACGCAACAGGTATTTCGCGGCTGTTTCACTGATATTTCACGGCTTCACGGTTTCATGGGTACGTGCACGTAAACATCGCGTGTTGTAATGTTTTGCGTTGGTTTTGTCGCATGGGCCACAAACAGTCAAACCGTACACCATGGAACGTTTAATGGCAATGATAAGCCTTGTCGCGGCATCTCCAGGTTTCCAGACAAGGCCAATGCGCTGCTTGACCAAAGTGCAAGAACTCTTTGGCAGTACAGACCGCACCATATCACCACACTTCGCAGCAGGGCCAGAGGGCAAGCCGGCTGTCCTGCGCACTGCTGGACGTTCGCCAGGGCGACGCGGCGGCCCATGCCATACTTGGCGCAACGGGGGAAGGAATAGGCAGATGAGTGGGCAAGCAAATTGGCGCCATGGGGGAGTAGAGTCGAGTGGCGACACCCTCGCGAGGGGAGGCGGCAGGAGGAGGGCAAGGAGGAGGGAAGGGCGGATGAGGGAAGAGAGTTGCGCGTTCGACGCATGGGGGTTCGAAGTCGGAGAAGTTGGTTGGATGTCCCAATCTCTTCATCATACTTGTCCTTCCCCTGTGTCCTCCTTGCATGTTCTAAGCCGCTGCCCCTGTCTTGCCCCCCTCCGCCCCATCCTCGCCATCATCCTCGCCGCCCCTTCCCGCTCCCAGCTTGGCGAAATCCGCCAGGCCCCGCTCGGGGCCCACACTCCGCAATTTTCCGCGGCGCGTCCAGCCACGGCGACGAGGAGGGGCCCCAAAGGCCAAACAGCTACGAACGTTGATCCCCGAGGCCATGCCGAATCGCAGGCAGTGTCTGCGTCGCCACCCCTTCCTCTTGTAATCTCCCCCGGGACCGAGCGCTGGCAGGCAGCGCGTTTTTTTTTTTTTTTTTTTTTTTTTTTTTTTTTTTTTTTTTTTTTTTGTTTTTTTTTTTTTTTTTTTCTCTCTCTCTCTCTCTCTCTCTCTCTCTCTCTCTACTCCTCTCTCTCTCTTCTCTCTCTCTCTCTCTCGTCTCTCTCTTCCTCTCCTCTCTCTCTCTCTCTCTCTCTCTCTCTCTCTCTCTCTCTCTCTCTCTCTCTCTCTCTCTCTCTCTCTCTCTCTCTCTCTCTCTCTCTCTCTCTCTCTCTCTCTCTCTCTCTCTCTCTCTCTCTCTCTCTCCCTCCTGATGCGATGTTCGCGCGTGCCCGTTGCAGGTGAGGAGGCGGTGAGCATTGAGCAGGATAGAGCATGCAGACAGGAAAGTCGGGGCGGGGTGCCTGGGAATTGAGATCGCTTGAGGAGGTGGAGGGAAGATGAGGGCACATGTGCACTTCAAACATGCATATGCTTGCGCGCTGTGCGCAGAATCAGGCCGGCGGCAGTGGCAAATCCTATTGGCCTTCTGGGCGTGGTGACCCTAATTAGGGACCCCCCCCCCCTCCTGTGAGTGATCCCACCCAAGATGGCCCAAAGATGGTACCCAATAGGGCCCCAAGGTGGCCCGGAAGCCCCAAGAGGCCCCCAGGATGCCCCCAGGAGAGACCCCAAGAGACCTCCCAGAGGCACCCAAGATGCTCCAAGAGGCCTCGGCGAGAATGCCAAATCACTGATGTTACTAAGGTTTTAGCCACATGTTGGCCTCTTGAGGGGGCACTGATTAAGATATATTAAGATGACTCCAAGAGCGCCTGGGAGAGCCCAAGATGACCTCCAAGATGGTTCAAGATATCCCAAGATGTCTCAATGGCTCCCACGATGCTCCAAGATGCCCCAAGACCGCTCCAAGACTGCTCCAAGTGGCCGAAGAGCTCCCCCACGAGGCCCCGAAGAGGCCAAAACCTCAGGAACATCTATGCGTTTGGTTTTCTCGCCTTTTCGCTTCTGGTGGCCATCCGAGGCCTCGAGGTGGCTCCAAGATGGCCCAAGAGGGCACCAAGAGAGGCTCAAGAGAGCCCCGAGACGGCCCCAAGAGCGCTCCGAGAGCGACCCAAGAGCGCCCCAAGAGGCGATGTGTTGGGCTCCTGAGGGGCAACGCTAACTAATGCTCGCTTCTTGTTTGATCGATGTCCTCCAAAATGGCCCCAAGAGCGCTCCCAGGGCTCCCAAGAGCGTTTCAAGAGGGCACCAAGAGGCGCCCAGGAGGCCCCAACAGGCGCCTAAGAGGCCCCCAAGATGCCCACAAGAGGCCCCCAAGAGGCCCCAAGAAGCTCCCAGAGGCACCCAAGATGCTCCAAGAGGCCTCCACTGGGGGACATTTTCCTCTGTGTGCTGCCCACTTCCCTGATTGAGATTACGCGAAGCGTCTAGAGTTTAAGCGACGCCATATGGGTTGCATACGTCATTGGGAAGTAAGGTAGGCC